AGGACTCAGCTGCTCGGATTGAGTTGGGCAGGTCATTCCACCAGGAGGGAACAGTTAATTTAAAAGTCAGGGAAAAAAAAAAACATAACATAAATAAAAAAAATTAAAAAACATAGCATAGTCAAAGTGTATATAGCATATAGATAACAGTATATATAACTGTCAATTCTTTGAGATGCCTTTCTCAAATTTCAATGTCACATTTTTTTTCCTGCAGAGATAAAGATTACTTAGTTTCTAATCTGATACAGTAATAGACTGAGACAGGCTCCGATTAATAAACTAGATAGGAAATGAACTGTGGGGATCGAGTTTCTACCATCTGGTTTCTTTCCTCATACCGTTTTTAGTGTCACTAAATAAGAGCATCATATTAGCCATCTGTGCCTTCCTACTCCGTCACGAACACCACTGTGTGTTCCCATCTACCCCCACACTTACGCACACACTGACACTCTCTCACGCATGCCAATTCCTGCATCATCGATGGGCGCGTTGCTATGGCAACATAGGAGTGTCAGTGTTAAAGGCGCATTATAGCAGCGTGGTCAATTGGTGAGTCAGCGTCAGGAAAGAGCAGTAAATCTATCGGTCAGATTGCTCTTCCTGTAACTCTCTCTCCTTTTATGGATTGTTGTCAAATACAGTTTCTGTTTCTTTTCACTATAGAAAAGCTCCTAAAATGTGGTGACAATGAGTAATGCTGACAAAATCACATGATTTATCCAAGATGGAGGGATGTACACGTGTCAGTTTTAGTTTTTTTTTTTATCATATTTAGTTATATATATTTTTTGTAAGTGTTAATCTCAACAATATTGGTCTAAATCTCTCAGCATTTTGTTTATTAAAATCTATCCCTCATTCATTTTACTTTAATTGCAGGACACAATAAATAACAATTCCTTTGGTGAGAAAGAACGGAGGAAAGAAAAGAAAACCCATTCTTCATCACCACACATTAAGGGTGAGTAATGGCCATGCACACCACACAAATGAACATGTCTGAAGAATTTCCGAGACTTGAATTTTCCAAACAAGTAATTTTTCATAATCACCTCTATGCATTAGAGGAACTACCATAAATGAAAGAAATACAAGTTGTAGGTGTATTGTTGTTCATAATTGTAGGTGTTTTTGTAGTATTCGCTTCCATGGAATGAAAATGTGTTTATGTGTTGTAATTAACTTAATGGGATTTTCGTCAATCTACTTACCCAGAGAGTTCATCAGATTTCTTCTAGTAACTCCTAGTATGAAAAAAGGCTTGGATACTGTAAAGCTAATGTGTTTAATTTTTGTTGAAATACATTTATGAGTTTAAATACTATTGCTTTGTCCCAATTTGGATGGGTTCACTATATACTAAAATTATATGCTTCCCTGATGATGGGAAATTTGCATTTGGCATATGTAAGCATTAGCACTTACCTAAATGCTGTATGAAATGAAAATTCACACTATTTTACAAACCCATGTTTTTTATCTTATTGTGAACAATTCATGCATGTTTGACTTTTCTCTTTTTTTCTTCTCATATTGCCTTGTAATTCTTAATCAAAATGTCATAACTGGATGTTTTTCTGGTGACAAACTTCTCCAATTAAGATCTGCCACCATCCAAACGATGGATTGAAATAAGTAGAAAAAGAAATATTTTCTTTTTCGATAATGTACATCGATAATGTACTATTTTAATTTTACGTTTATACATTTGGTGCTGAGGAAGCTTTAATCTCATATTATTTGCTGGTACCTTTCTTCAGTTGACAAAATGACACTTCAACTCCATATTTTATACCATATATCATATATTCACCTTCTATATTAGTTTAAAAGTCATCAAGATTGATTACTTCTTGTTCAGAGTGAAACTTAGCAATTTGCATGACTTTTAATATGGCATTGACTGACATTTTTACATAATCCTCTTCAGATGTGTTCCTCCATTAAGTCATCAAGATTGATTACTTCTTGTTCAGAGTGAAACTTAGCATTTTGCATGACTTTTAATATGGCATTGACTGACATTTTTACATAATCCTCTTCAGATGTGTTCCTCCATTAGGCTTATTGCCTAATGTATAATCTTCTGTGTGTGCGAAACAGGAGATCCGGCGGCCAAACCTGAGCAGGTTAGCCTGACCGATGGGGACAAAGTTCAGGCCAGGGTGGACACCAAACCACGGGGCCCTGCCTCCTCCACGAACAAAGCCTCCGCCTTTCACACCAAGAAGAAGGACAAGTTTTCTGAGTCTTTGAACAACCCCAATGTGGTGGCGCCCCTCACGCAGACGGTCATGAGGGAAAAATCCACGGAAGTGACCCTGATAGAGGGTGTCCTTGACATGCCGACCATTTGCAAGGAAAAAGCCCGGTATCACACCGCCAGCAGCTATCGGGAACAAGTGCAGTATCCTGCGGAGAATGAAGGTACGTGTGACCAGTTGGTCGACAAAAACAAGGACTTTCACATTTCGGAAGGAAATGCAACAGAGGAGATCCACCTCACGCCAGTCAACGGTGAACAAGAGCGACCATTTCTGTCCCAGAGCAGCGACAGCAACCGCATGTCCATTAGTTCGGACACGGAGCTTCCTCCCCTTCACTACTACCCATCGGCGGGTTGTCCGAACCCCTCCATTAGCGAGGAGGATGAGGTGTACCCACCCACGCCCCCATGCCGAACTGTCAGCCTCAGTGACGCGGGGGACGCAAGTAAGTGGGCTAAAACCCACAAGCCTAAAGTGGCGAAGGAGGACACAGGGAACTTAAAGGCGGTGGCGGTCAGCACGGATGCTTCAGGACTGACGTATGACTCAGTTAAGTACACCCTGGTGGTGGATGAGCATGCTAAGCTCGAGCTAGTGAGTATTAAGGACTGCTACAAAGGATACGAAAGTGACAGTGACAATACAGTCTACGAGTCTGCTATCGACGAGGACGAGGAGGATCAGGAAGTGGATGAAGAGGAGGAAGAGTCGGGAGGGAGGGGCATGAGGAGAGACACTTCCTGTTTGTCTGCAGACTCCACCACAGACACCACCTCAGACATGCCGCGTTCCCGCAAGTTCATGAACATCTTTGTGAATGGACTGTCACGTTTCTCTGGTGAGTAATAAGAGCTGATTTGGAATTTGGAAAATAATAATACATTTAGAATTTATTTGTAAAAAAAATTATTATTTTTCTTAACATAGGGGTTGTTGCAAATGTGCACAGATCTTAATTATTTAAGTACTCTAAAATCCATTTAGCCATTTCTTGAGGCTGCTGGGGTATTTCGGCTACTTTTGACCGTGAAACACTTCCATTATCCACAATGCCTAGTTTATGAGTTTATTTTTTGGCTTCTGATATGTTACAATAAACTTGAAAAATAAAAAAAATACATCTGATACAGAAATGTATCCAAAATCAATTTAAAGTGGCAGTTGTGCAGCAAAAAGGGCCATGTGCTCCCAGTAGATGACGGTTTTATCTCATAACCTGTCCTATAAAGGGGTTGAACATGCAATATAATTCAGAAAAAAAATTATGGCTTATACATTTATAAAAATTAGCTCTTCATGTAAAGCTAAAAATCCATTAACCTTATATATTCAGTGGATACACCAAATGAAGGCAAGGGCAGTGTGAAAAGGGCTCAGAAGGAATGGCAAAGTGCCAAGGGTTGAACTTTGTGGCACCCCTTCAGTAATACATCTGCCAACACTTTGCAAGAACTACAGATTTTCCTCATTAATTGGTTTGCTAATATCAGACCCACCTTTCACCAGCCAGGATCAAGATGATGAAATTCAGCCAGCAGTTCCTACCCAAATTTGTCTCTATCCTTTGTTGTGACAATGAACGTTTGTTCTCCTACTCAGGTGCTGAGTTTGGATTCTTCTCCTGTGTTATTAATGGAGAGGAAAGAGAACAGAGCCACAGAGCAGTGTTCAGGTAAGGATTCGATCAAATCCTTGATACACTATTTAAAAAAAAAGATAGAAAGTAATCAAGTGACTTAAAAGAGATATTGAAACATATCCCAGCCAAGAAAGTTTCAGGCCTTTTTAAAATTAAGCCTATTTTTGGGACCATTATTATTATTTATTTTTCTGCTTTTTTGACATTCTTTTTTTTACAGTTACGCAAACAAAACATACTGCAATACATTTTTACTGTATTTGTTTATTATTACGGTATTATTATATTTTTAATGTGCTAAATTGTCATGAAAATAATGTTACAATGCAACTAAAAGAACTGTCCTAAAAAAAGTCTACATTTTATTTTGTGAAATTCACCTAAATACAAACTACAGTGAAACCAGACGACAGCCCTAAAAAATAAAAAAAAGAGTACTAAGACATATCTTACTATGCAAATACACTCTTAAAAATAAAGGTGCTTCACGATGCCATAGAAGAAACTTTTTGTCTAAATGGTTCCATAAAGAACCTTTAACATCTGAAGAACCTTTCTGTTTCACAAAAGGTTCTTTGTGGCAAAAGAAGGTTCTTCAGATTATAAAAAGGTAAGAAAGAGATGGTTCTTTAAAGAAGCTTTGACTGAATGGTTCTTTGTGGAACCAAAAATGGTTCTTCTGGCATCGCTGTGAAGAACCTTTTAAGCACCTTTATTTTTAAGAGTGTATATAATTCGTTCAGAGAGACACTCTACTCATGGGTGGTACCCTAAACCACTTTTTTTCTTTTCTTTTTTTTTTTTTTACCTGAGCATTCTTAATTTTGGCTTGTTTACAGGTTTATACCTCGCCATGATGATGAGTTGGAGATGGAGGCGGATGACCCCTTATTGGTTGAGGTGCAGGCCGAGGATCTTTGGTGCGAGGCCTACAACATGCGCACTGGATCCAGAGGCATCTTCCCTGCATTTTATGCCGTCAAGGTGACAAAGGATGAACTTGTTAAAGGTAAATCTTGGCTTTGCTATAGTATTTTAAGTATCTGAGCTTTTGTTTCTTGTGCATTGAGGAATAATGGCCTTCTCTGTCTGCTGTGATTTATTCAGAGGTCAAAACTGACTGGATGGACAAATTCTGGGTAAAATTCCTTGGTTCTGTTCAAGTGCCGTATCACAAAGGGAATGATGTGCTTTGTGCCGCCATGCACAAGGTATACTAATCCATTTTTGCATTATAATTCTGCCTTGGATTTCCATATATTTACATAATAACTACAATGACATGATGTTGTTCATATTTAATCTGAAGTTCATATGCAATCTGATTATGTCAACAGATAGCATCAAACAGACGAACAACAATGCAGTTCAGCCCCCCTTCACCTTGCATTCTGGAAATCAACACAAGAGGAGTGAAAATCATTGTTCAAGATGACTGTCGGACTTCTGGAAGGGTTTGTATACTGCATTCTTCTTAAAAAAATATAAGCACAAGGGTCATTCCTGTCATGCAGTACCTTTTCAAACCTCAAACGTTAAAATAAAATCGTTGTAATTTTATAATTTATGGAAGTAATTCAATAAGGCTTGAGGGTGTCAATTTACTTTAATAAAAATTGATGATGATAGGAAATAGCATAGTGGGAATCAATAAAAATTGACATTTGAACTTGGCTTCATATTTTGGCTAGATGTTGCCACCATAAGGCTCTTTCACTCAACTGTGCTCTGTGACGCAACATATTCAGTCCCACAGTTATGCAATGAAGCATCTTAAGACCGAATGGTAATCTGTAGCCATAATGTGGGGGGATCTCGCCCCCTAAGCCCCTGTGAGTGAATTAGTGAGCGTGCTCAGTGATGTAAATCACAGGGTTCAGGAGTTAAGCACACATACTACGACGACCTCGCACCACACTGACATCATGTGGCTGCAGTTTACGCTAATGTGTTTCAATCCCTGCTGCTGATTAGACCACTCAGTCTTTCTTTCCATATTTTACAGGGTGAGAAGTGCTTTCACTTTTTTCAGTTGAAAAACATCTCCTTCTGTGGGTGCCATCCGAAAAACAAGAAGTGAGTTTGAACAGAAAATCATGGTTTCTCTCAAAATGCTTTTATTAGGTCCTTTCTGTCAATTTTGACTAGTTCTCAAGTGAAAATAAGTGAATTAGGGGTTAAATAAATGTATAAAATACTTGAAATTAATTGTAATATTCATTTTAATAAATATAATAATATTTAATAAATGTTGAAAACAGTTGTGCTGCCTAATATTTTGTAGACATGTTCTCAGGGCTCTTTGATGAATAGATTCTTAATGAATCTTAATAAATTTAGATGAATAAAATTCTTAATTTGGGACTGAGAGTTTGTGGTCACTTATTTAAAGCTGTAAATACAATAACTCAATGTTTACCCATCTACAATGCCCCCTACAGGGAAAAAGAGAACATACAAAAACAACAATAAAGCCACAATCTTGACAGTAAATACTACATCATTTGTTTTTTTCAGGTACTTTGGAGTAATAACGAAACATCCAGCATACCAGAGATTTGCCTGTCATGTGTTCTTCTCAGATGATACAACCACGAAACTGGCTGAATCTATAGGGTGAGTTGTTCTCTAGTCATTTAAAGATCCCACAAACACAATTTTCTTTTTTGATTTACTGTTGAAACACTAACTCAAACATTTAGGAACATATCCTACTCATTTAACATACTGCTTTTTGCATATTGCTGTATACAAAAATACATATACAGTAGTATACATAATTATTTGCTAGTTAGTTGCAGGGCATATCATCTTCAATTTAGTAAGCCATTTGATTAGACCATAAATAAATAAATAAAAATTTAATTGGACAAAAATGTAATTACTTATTAATTTTATGGTCCATTTTCCCAGAAAGAGAGATTTTTTACATCATCTTTTGACAAAAGTCAGCTTTTAGTTGTATGCTAAAATACAGATAATCTCAGGGCTAATAGATATGAACTAAGGACCATAAAATGTTGATTTTCATTTTGTGAGAAGCTGGATCTTTTTGCTAATTGGATTAAAATAGTAGAATCTTTCTGTTGATTGGTCAAAAAAGAAAATAGATTGCAACGGTGCCTTTCCACTTTTCAATTTTCACATAGTGAAATGAACTAAACCAGCCAATTACAAGGTGAATCACATTGTTAAAAAATTTGATTTGAAGCCAAGCCAAGAAGTATTAAAAAATTGGACCAAAAACAAAGGTGCAAGACTATGTGGCTTTAGTGAGGGGAATGAACTACAATCCCATGAAGCATTACGAATGACAATCAAATTAAAAACAATAGGCCTAGAGAAATAGAAAATACTGATTTTAAAATGTTGACTTCATATGAAGATAAGTAGTATGAGAGCACAGGAAGACTGTACTACTTTTGGTGCAATTTGTCGCTAATCTCTGATTGGTGGAGATTCTCTGAAGAATCGTGGGTAATGTAGTTTTTCACCCGGAATTCTGTTGTTAAATATGATTAAGAAACAAGTTAAAATTATGCAGGCTGATGGCTTTAACAAAAGCGTATACCAGCGATTAACAACAACATAGCTTAAAAAATAGCTTAGAAAATGAATGGAATTTTTACTTTCAAAACCTGGTTCTGTTCCTGAGTAAATTTTTTTAAAGCACAAATAAAAGCAAAACTCATTCTACATCTAAAAATCACATCTAGACCTTCCCAAAATGCAATTAAAATATGACTTTAGTGCATATAATATAGATATGTATATAAAAAATACTTTTGTTTTTATAGGAAAGCTTTTCAGCAGTTCTACAAAGAACATATGGAATATTCCTGTCCGACAGAAGACATCTTCCTCGAATGACCTTCAGTCTGTTCATATTTTTCCATTATCACATACTATATGAGGTGTCGCATGATGGTGGTTTTGAGCCTCTTTGTAACGTGTTATGTTGATGATATAATGTTGATGTCTATTTTAGACAAATGTTAAAATCGAAAACAGATATCAGCTACGGCGCAACTACTTTCACATTGTGCAACTCGAGTATTACTGACTGGTGTAAAGCCTTACGAAGTTTAATAACAAAAAAAATGTTTGATGTGAATTGTAAAAATCATTTGTGCGAAGTTTGGTTTTGAATTCATTCGAAGCACAATGTTTGATGGATGAAACAACATAAGATAGAAAGGAGATCTTAAAACAACTGTATGTAAGTTTTTTACCTTGAAATATCAGTTTCAAAATCTTCCAGATGACAAGTTTGTTTTGCGATTCGGCCTGAATCAGTTTTCTAAAGTGTTTTTGAAAAATCACATACCCTGCCTTTAATCTGAGGCGAATGGTTTCTGATTCTTTCCCACGCTCCTCCACAAACGCCTGGGAGTTTGGTAAGCAGGTAAGAAATACGCGAAAAGGGCGTAAAGATTGCTTTACGGCAGCAACAAAGGCAGCAACAAATGCACGTGTACAGCTGTTGACTGTAATTACGACAGCGAATTTCACTCTTTTAACTGTAGGGGGCTCCAAAGTCGCATAAATACGCATACAGTTGCTTTAAAGCTAGACTGGATCCCAAAATCAAAGTTTATCTGAAACCAAAGCTTTACTGGGCCATGTCCTTCTTCACTCAGAATGGAAGAACCATGTAATTGAATGCAGCCCAGTCTGTCCATCTAGTGTCCCACTATGCGAAACCCCAGGTTAAAGACCACTTTCCAATGTTTCTCACATCGTTTTGAAAGGGTGGTTAGCACCGCTTTGAACCCAAGGTTATGAAACCGTGATCCAGAGCATTGCTGTGCCACAATTTCAAGTGTTGTATGTAAAATAGGGTAATTGCTGCTGTTTATCTTCAGTCACTTGCGCACTACAGAGTCTCACAAATACAATATGGCATCCATGCTCCGTCTGTTAATGCTTTTTGTTTTTGGTTCTCGTATTTAATGTTTATGTGTGCTTATATTCCCATGTGTTGCTCTGTTAAACAGAGCGTAGTCTGGGCTTATTCGCATTCTGCTTCAATCTCAGTATCCCTGACGTATGTAGCTGTGAAAACCAAATAATTTTATTTTCTTTTTACATATTATATAAGATATCTTATTTATAATTATATTGAAATGGAAAGATCATAAAATATATTATTCTGGCACTTGAAAATATATACGGAGAGGACTTATATGGTGCTGAGGAATATGGCTGTCTGGTTATGAAAAATTTGTTCTTTCTCAATTGTTTCCCCCCAGATACAAAAAGAAAGGTTTTAAAGCCAAGGCCTAAAATGGACCATCTTCACCAGTCCTTTCAAAATGGCACATCCTCACAGCATGCGCATACCTAATATGCAATATTCACTAAACGAGCAAAGTTTTCATTGAATAGATCAACAGGCCAAATGGTTTTCAGTTTTGAAGATGTTTTGCATGGTATGGCCATTTTGAAAGGTGGTATTCAGTTAATAGGACCATTTGTGTCTGCAAAAAATATCTGCGAACCGATCCTGCAAAATCACAAGTTGTGCCTATTTCATTTATCACTGTACATTGTTTTGTTTTGCTTTTTGAATGATCATATGTCTTCTGTGGAACCCATAAAGTTAAATCCTATTTATAAATGGATTGTCCTGGAGTGTAGTTATTAAAAGTGTGTGTGTGTGTGTGTGTGTGTGTGTGTGTAATTCACATATTGTGAAATATAATTACAATTTTAAATAATTGTTTTGTATTTTAATATGTTTTAAAATGTGATTTATTCCTGTGTTGCAAAACTGAGTTTTCAGCATCATTACTCCAGTCTTCAGTGTCACATGATCTTTCAGAAATCATTCTAATACACTGATTTGGTGCTTAAAAAATGATCAGTGTTGAAAATTTCAAAAGGACAACATTTATTGTAAACATATATATTTGTAACAATGTAAAAGTCAAAAGGTCTTAACTTTTTAAAGCATTCTTCCTGAATAAAAGTTAATGTAATATTTTTTAAATATTACTGATCTTACTTATGTTTGTTTAGTTAAACTACATTTTATATATACCTTATTGCACTCATATATTCTTTGGGTTAAGTTCATCACAGACCAGTTACTCTACTACTGAATATTTATTTTATGCAACAGTCATATAAGCAAGAAGTTAATATAAAATAATTGTCTTTTCAGAAAATATAGCTGTCCAATTTATTTATTTATTTTTGCTTCAGCAACATAAGTAGTTGGGTTACAGAGATGCCCACAGAACTAGAAAGTAGTGAATACAGACAGCATACATCAGCACTATTGAAATGCCACTTTTCTAATCAAATTAGTGAACCTGCACTAACAGTTGTCTAAAAAAAATCATGAAGATGCTAGCAAGCAGGTCTGTGCATGTTAATTCTCAGAAGAGTCAGTCTCCTCTGTAGAACCGTCGCTCTCCATTTCGATCCTCTTGTGTTGGTGCAGGGACTTGCGCGGTGAGGCCTTCTTGGACATTTCCTTCTGTCCCACAGCGCTGCTGCTGCTATTGTTGGACGTCGGGCTGATGGCGACTTGAGCTATGCTGGAAGAATCACAGAAACATGTTGTCAAATGCAAGTACATTAGCTTTAATAAAAGTGTTAAATATAAAAAAAGATTGTTAGCAAGCTCTCCATCTTTTAATAACACACGGTTTATAGTTAACCAGCAAGTGACTGTAATATACTCTTTGAGCAAGTCCGTCTCTCTCACAGTCTCTCCAGCTCCTGGTCCATCTCTGGATCAATCAGCAGGTCCAATTTATTGGGAAGAGCACCTGATAAATAAATGGCACAAGATAAAGCATTCAGTTTATATTTCGAATTAATAAAAGTTACAAGTATTCAGAAATACATTTAAGCATCACCTAATGCTCACCGATGTCTTGGTTTACTCCCTCATGTTTGGCCAAGGCCATCAGGAAGCCATAGAAAGACACTCGCTGACTGCTCTCTAAGATCTCCTTAATGGCAACAGTGGAAGGAAACCTGGTAAAATTAAATCACTATCATATTCTAGTAGTAAAGATGGCTATAGTGGGTGCTATTAAATTTAGTGATAAACAAGTTACTACATAAGCATACTATTATAATTGTATTTAAATATAGATGCAATCATTCAAATGTAATTTAAATATAATTATATATTTAAAGGTAACATATTATACACCTTTCTGGAGTTTTATTTTAGGTTTTGATGTCCTTAAGAATATATATTTGCGGTATAAGTACCAAAAACCATCTATTTACAGCTCCTTTCTCAGGAGCTCTGCTTTCAACAGGTCGATTTTGGCCTGTATAATTAATATTCATGAGCCTCTTTTCTGATTGGCCTGTTGTTTTCTGAGTGATGCACGGCCAGGCCAACCACAGGTAACTAGGTTCATGTATGCTGTAGCCTGCTATGGCAAATAGAAAAATAGAAACACCTGTAATGATGGCCACTGCTGAGGGAAATGTTTTCCGGTGTTGTGCCGAATTCTGCACCCCTGCCAGATTCCGCTACCTGATTGCCTAATCCCAACCCCACCCCTAATCCTAACCCCTCCCCCACACCTACTCCTAAACCTACCAATATTATGGGGTGCATAATCTGGCAGGGTGCAAATTTCGGCATTACGCCGGCCTTACATGTTTGAGCCGGACTCAGGCGACGGCAGGCGACAACGAACCACCTCATCAAATGCACTTACAACAGGATGTTTCAGAATGGTAATTAATTTGATTTTTTTTCCCAAAAAACCGAATGCAGTAATCTACATAACTATTGCTTTCCTACTTATACAACATGTCAGCATCAAGTTAGCAACATGTTAGCATCACGTTAGCGTTGCATAACCGTTTACAAACTATAATTTCAGATTATGCAGGCTCCATAATGTAACAGTTTGTAATAATGTAATAATGAAATTTACTTACGGGTTGTGGACATTACATAATGCCTGTTATATTACAGTATATAAAATTTCACTTACCACATAAATAGAGTAAGGAGAGATGACTGAGGACGATGGCGAATTGCAGATCCTGAGCACCTCTGACAAACATGTAATCTTGTAAAATGTGTGGTAAGTACTGCCGCTCCATAGTATAAACAAAGTACGTGCGATTGCGAAAATCGAAAGTGAAAGTGAAACTAAAATCGTGCATTCAAAAGCAGTTTCAATGCCAGGCATAATAGACTAAGACCAGAGTGACATCATCACTACCCTGTGAAAGCGTTTCTATGGTTACTCGAGGCTCCGTCTTTCATCGGAATAATCTCATCCTCATTCACTTTCACAGAGTTTGTGGAGAGTGTGTATGTGATTTACCAAGACCTGCTGTCGGGGAAGAACCCAAACATAATGGTCAGGAAGTCACAATGGCTCATGAAAAGGCACAGCTACTTTATGCAGGCTGTGTGCATTTGTCTGTGGATTGACTGTTTTGAAACTTATATGGTAGTTAGCCCTTAGACCTCAGTTATCATGAAAGAAGCCAGGAAATTTCAGTTTTGACAATATGGGACCTTTAAATATAAATCGAATATAATTAAAAAATAAATTGCAAATTCAAAAGTAATAAAATAACTGTTGAAATTTTTTTTAAAACCTATAATTGTGTGTGTATATATATATATATATATATATATATTAGTATAATAA